ATTTGCGAATGTTCGCTCCAACAGTTGTCTCCTTCTCGCCAAGCTTCTTACTGATGATCTTGTAGCCCATTCCAGTCTTGTGCAGGTTTACAATCTTGTCCCTGATGCCCTTTGACAGCTTTTTGGTCTTGTACATGGTGGGGCCCAAGTGTCAGGTACCAGCTGGCAAGGGCTCTAGAGACCCACAGACCAGGATTCCCCAGGGCGCGGAGTCTAAGCCCCAGACTGCTTATTCACCAGAACCCCTAATGGTGGGGATGGACTTGGAGCAGACTGAGACCAGGTCGCGGCCCCCGAGTACACTCAGCTGTGGTAGAGATAATTGCCAGTGGTACGTAGCGGGTATGAGCCTGCTGTGAAGAGGCGGAGCAGACCTAGGCAGCAGCAGATGGATCCGATCAGGATGGGTGGATCCGAGCAGGAACAGTGAAGTCAGACAGGCCAGGTCGCTAACAGCGGAGGCAGACGGTACAGGGCAGCAGGCTAAGAGTAATCGGGTCACAGGCCTGGTTCAGCAACGGGAGGTCAGATAGTCAGAGAATAGTCAAACGAGCCAAGGGTCAGAGCAGGAGATGGTCAACAGAATCAGGGTCAGGCTGGGTCGGCAACAAGGCAATCACAGGAACAGAACGAGCAGGAATCAACAGGAACAAGACCATATGGCAATTTGAGCATGCAAAGGGCCGGTTTAAGTAGTGCGCCCTGCGCTGTCATTGGTGCCAGGCGCGTGTCCGCGATCGCGAGTGCACATGCGTGGCCGCCACTGTTGCCTATGTCCTAGTGCCTGCCGGCTAATGCGCATCGGCATTCTTCTGCGCATGCACAGACCCTTGCGCCGCCGCGAGCCCTGGGATTCCTGACACCAGGAAAGAGGTTCTGTGGACAGATGTCTTTTATACACATAATGTATATGTAATGTATGTATAATGCTGTCGTTAGGAGCACCTTCTTAAATTGACAGGGCTATTCTGTGTACTACATGAGCACATAGCCAGTTTGTGGGAGCCAGAATTATTGTTGGTTGGTAGGGGGGGATCAAATACTTATTTTACTCATCGACCTGCAACTCAATTTACAACATTTGTATCATATTATTTATTTATTTTTTTTGGTTCATATTCTGTCTCTATCATTTAAAATTCGCCTATGATAAAAATTATAGACCCTTTCATTTCTTTGTAAGTGGGCAATTTTATAAAAATCTGCAGGGGATCAAATAATTATTTTTCCCACTGTATGTTTAATTCTAAAATACATAAATTTTATACTTTTAATTCTTGAGAGTAGGTGCGTAAATTGGGACAGGCTAGTAGGGGCCCCAGTGCATTACTTTGCCGAGGGGCCTATGATGCTATTAAGACGGCCCTGGCATCTTGTGCTGCCTGATCTGTGCTGTACAGAACTGCAAGAGGCTGACACCAAGTCAACTTCAGGTACTTGCACGAAAAAAATATTTAATTTTATATTATTGAATGCAGAGCTTCATTGATTTATTTTTTATCTACCTGGAGTTCAGCTTTAATCAAAGACTTGCATTTCATACTCTGCAATCTACATCCCATTGTGAGCCTTTTTAACAAAGTGCCCTTGCACCTAAGGTGTACACAGTATGTAGTCATTGAGACCAGTATAAAGTAATTAAAGCTCAATTGGTTGCTATGGGGTATTACATTTTGAAAATCATTGCCACTTTTTGCAGTATATATAAATATGGTGTAGGTAACAGTCTTGTGAAATAGGAGAGGGTTGACCCTGTACTATGATTATTTCAGTAATAAATGTTTTAGACAAGGTGTATTTAAAGGCACTTCTATTTTAGTTTTGGATAGAGTAGAGAAGAATTCGACCCTTTTGTTGCTGTCTGTGTCCCTGCTGAGGAAATTTGCCGTTCTGTGAGTCCTGGTGACCATTATCAAGACAGAAAGTGGTGGGGAGTTGTCACCATAGCAAGAGGACACCTGCTCCTGTGACAACTCTCTAAGCTGGAGTGTGTACAAAGGATGAGAGTGCCACACATCTAGAAAGTAGGCTAAAGTTTTTGAGTTTGGTGAAAAATCCAACACGTTTTGGGAGCTCAAACTCCCCTTTCATCAAGGCTTGTACGCTGGTACTGATTGAAGACAGAACCGGAGAACCAATTATAACATATTAGGACAGCATAATGATGATTAAGGTGGTCAGTTGGGCAGCACCAGATATGTCTGAGCGACCAGGGGCGGACTGACAACTCATGGGGCCCCCGGGCAATAGGGGATCATGGGGCCCCTGTCTCCTTGCCCAAACTCAAAAAAGCCTATGAAAAAGGTACCAGGGGCATCTCATGGGGCACCCTACTGACCCAGGGCCCTCGGGCAGTGCCCGAGTTTCCAAATGGTCAGTCCGCCCCTGTGAGCGACTTATAACATGTTGGCTTTTACTATACTGCTCTTACTCTGGATTTGTGGCACTCTCATCCTTTGTATACAGTCCAGACTACTCCAGGAACCACCAGAGAACCTCGACTGACAGAGAACTTCCTTTTATCAGTTGAATTCTAATCTTGATTATGTCTACCTGTGGGTCCAGCACTCTACTAACACGTCCTCTGTAAGTTCTCAAAGATGGGCAATTATATTTTTCTCTTATTTCCTGTTGGGTCTCCAGGAAATTAAGGTAAATCTACCCAACGGCTCACAGACAGTAGAATATAGAGACAATATGACAGAACATGGTCATTATTATTATTATTACATCGAGTTTATATAGCGCCAAAGGTTTTGCTCAGCGCTGCACATGAGGGGGGGGGGGACAATACATGGCACAGTACAACAATAACAAACAACGTACAAGGGGTAAGAGGGCCCCACTCTTTCAAGCTTACAATCTAGGAGGGAGGGGGTAGTGGTACAGTAGGAAGTGGCTGAGGGGAATGAAGTGGTGGGAGGAATGAGGGAGAATGGCCATTAGGTGAGGGTGGGGTAGGCTTCCCTGAAGAGATGGGTTTTGAGGGAGCGCCTGAATGTGAGGAGGGAAGGCAGCAGTCTGATGGATTGGGGCAGTGAGTTCCAGAGGATGGGGGAGGACCTGGAGAAGTCTTGCAATCGTGCATGGGAGGAGGAGACCAGGGAGCAGGATAGAAGGAGGTCCTGTGAGGAGCGAAGGGTAGGGGCAGGGCGGTACATGGGGATCAGGTTGGTGAGGTAGTCAGGGGCAGTGTTGTGAATGGCTTTGTAGGTCAGGGTTAGAAGTTTAAATTTGATGCGTTGGACAATCGGTCATAACACCCAGTGGCGTCCCTAGGGGGCTGCGGGCCGCATTGGGTGACACCATCACGGGGGGTGCAAGAGCAGGATGCCAGAAGAGCTTCTAGGCTCTGTGAAGGTCCTGTCCAGTTATTGGGGTGTTCCCGGATTCCCGGAACAGTGACAGCTGCCCCCGGTGTAGTGGTAAAATGAGTTTCCCGTAAAGATATGTATCCTCTGAAGCAACTGCGCATGTGCCGGTTTCAGGCCAAAGAAGCCAATCGCTATGGGTTGCAAGATCAGTTAACCCAGTATAAGTTAAACCTATACGGGATTAACTGATCTTGCAACCCATAGTGATATGCGGGATCAGCTTCAGAGGTTTGCAGCCTGTAAGGGGTTAACTGTGGCAGCTTGGCTTCTTCAGCCTGAAACCGGCACATGCGTAGTTGCTTCAGGGGATACATATCTTCACGGGATACTCATTTTTACCACTACACTGGCACCGCTCCTCCCTCTCTGGAGGGGTGACACCACGTTTTACCACACCCGGTGACACCAACCCTAAGGACGCCTCTGATGACACGATGACATGATACTTGTCTCTCATACCCTCCCATCTTAGCATTTCTTACAAAATTACCTGTGCCCTATACCAAAGGTACAGTCGTCCTTGGAGATCGAGTGCAATGAGATCTGGTGCCATAGGATCTGTTACAATGAGATCTGATATAATGAGTGCCCTATGGTTCCAGCTACATGCATATATGTGCAATTCCACAATTATGTGTAAGATTTCCACTGCCGTGTAGTTTGCACTATAGGAATCGTATTGCACCTTAATGGTTAATCTCGGCATCTTTATTACCAGGCAAACCAGTTGAAGATAATCTGAAAACAATTTTTCTCTGTTTTAGCACTTTAGAGCCCTATCTCATCATTGCGCACGGTTTATAAAATTGTTATGATGAGCAGGAACATGCTTTGTGTGTTGCAGCGCTTTGACTTCATTCTAAATGCACCCCAATGCAATATCTTGTGCCCTTCAGTGCAGTACAACGCACATAGGAATGCACTGTGAATTGCACGCCGCCATTCACACATAGCGTGAGCATAGTTTGCCATTTTAAAGAAATGGTTTGCAGTATTCAAGACAACGAGATTTCTGGCAGCATCTAGAGATGTTTCTGTATCATCCACTGAGGGACACTGCTTTCTGGATATCAAGCAATCTAGGGTTATACTGCCTTCCCCTGTAAGCGGCAGTATAACCTAGCAACATGGGTTATATTGCTGCCTACAGGAGAGAAACTGTATAACCTAATTTGTCTATTTTCCATAAAGTTGTATACCTTTTTAATAGACCTTTAAAAAAGGATGTTATAGTGAGTACAAAGATCTTTTTCTCTATCACCCGTTGAGGGACACCGCTTGATGGTATTAAGCAAAGTAGGTTATATTGCTGCCGACAGGTGAATAGGCAACCTAGGGTTATACTGCCTCCTACAGGAGAAAGACAATATAACCCTAGGCTGCCCATTATCCATAAATCTGAGAAAGGGGTTTTAAGGTGAGTACAAAAATCCAATTTTCTCTGTGTGTTGTCCAAAATTGGCACGTCCTTTTTTTGGATGTTTTGGTGCATTGCCAGTCCATTAATTTGAATAAGCTGCTTAAACCCAACCTAAAATAGGGGTCGTTGTTTTTAGTTTTAGCTTTGCAGTTTGCATCCTCCCGAAATAGCCTCTGCTCTAGTGACCTGTGCCCTTCTTCCTATAGAAAAGAAAGCCCATTGACCTGAAGCTGGCCATGGGGGACATGGTGGAGAAACTGAAGGAGAAGCTCCTCAACCCCAATGTAAGTAACTGTGTTGTTCCCACGCCCTGTGCACCCCTCTTGTCTCTGCTGCTACTCTTTACTGCCTCTCCATAGAGCCAGCTGCTGCTCGCCCTGCATGTTTTATGGGCTGCTGGAGGCTGTCTGGGAAACTGTAACTGAAGCACTTTACTCAAATAGCCTGGACACCATTCAAGACGCTGCCTCGCTGCTCTTCGCTTTCCTGGCGTCGCCCTGTGTATTAAATAATGAGTTCAGCGGGGAATTTTTTATTCAACCGCTAAGGAACAAAAGAGACCCCCTCATAGGGCAGCCAGAGATGGTAAACCGCATTCCCCGAGAGGGGCTTCTCTAATCCTGGTGATAACATCCAGTGCTGAATTAAAGGGGACACCTGCAAATGAACATTGTGTTCTTAACCTTTGAGGACCAAGGGACATATTTGTCCCATTTTTTTAATTGTGTGTATCATCTGATTAAGAACTAAAAACTTTTTTTTTTTTGGTTTGAGTCAAAATATTAGTTCTTCTCAACAAACAACAAATGGATCTAGCTTTTGGCCAATTATTTCATGAAATGGCTTAGTTACAGCAACTGAAGTGTACAAACTTTAAAAACAAAAAAATTGATTCTTTTGGCGTTCCAAAATCTTACGGTCCTCAAAAGGTTAAAGGGAAAGGTCTAAGGGGATAAAATGTATCGGGAGAGACTTTGGGGACTTAAAGACTAACTGCACTTTTGAGAAAAAAAACCATTCCCCTCTGGGTGATCTATGTACATTGCAGGGATTTTTAACAAACTTTGTTACAGATTCCTACCTTTTTTTTTTGTTGTTCTGAGGATATAGCTGTTTGTTTGTCTGTGTCCATGTGCAGAGTGAATCTGTATGGGAGAGGTTTTATAATTATCAATCAGCTGCTGCACCTGCAGGGCTCTAATGAGGAAAGTGGCAGGGTCTGCATCTCTTTAGATGTGATTTCCCTTTTGGCAGTATCTCACCAAAAAATTTTATTTTTGTTGCAGAGGATGCCAAAATCTAACTTGTTTTCTGGGAAAATCAGTGAGCCAATCACACAAGCAGGAAATTACATTTTCAGGGGGCATTCTGTACACAATCTGTGTACAGGACACCTCCAGGTAGCCATATTGCATTTACAGAAAATGACAGCTGCAGATTGAAAAGCAAAGGTAATTTTTAACAAGTTGTCGCCCGGCCTATAGCTAGATGGCAGCCAGGCAAACAGCCCGTCCCTCCGGTTGGACGCCATATTTTAGTTTGGGTACAGTGTTGTATGAGCGCGCAGTTGTCATTCAAAGTGTGACAGCGCTGAAACCTGAAAATTGGCCTGGGCAGTAAGGGGGTAAAAGTGCCTGGTATGGAAGTGGTTATTAACATTCAATTACAATAGGACTTGAGTTGCAATTGTATATGCTATATTATTATTTTTATTTGCCATTTTGTTTTCTCACGAAAATAGTTACCCTTCAAAACCGCAATTTGTATATATATGTTGCGCTATTAAACATTTTTGCAGCCTTTGCTCTTTCCAATAAAAGTGATTTGAGTGTCTGATTAGCCTCTGGATCACTTTTAGAAGCATCAGGAGGGGTCCTGAACCTCCCCACCCCACTTGCTGCTTTCCAGTTTCCTTTGGGCTTACCTGTCTCATCGCAGTGGTATATGTAGGTTTTGTGCTGCCCTAGGCAACACAAAAATTGTCTGCCCCCCACAGACACCGACCAACACCCCTGCCCCCCACCTGGGAGAGCCTTCCACTATAACCATCCCACCCCCCCCCCCCCCCCTCATTTTCAAAGCTCCAGACATCCCCAGGAATGAGAGTCAGGCTCTGCATACAGCATCAAGCAGCCCACAGCCTCTCTCAGATCCCACCTGGTTCTCAAGGCGTGCGTGTCCCTTCTTTCATCCCTTCTTCTGGGGGGAGGTGCTGCCCCCCTGAAAATTGCCACCCTAGGCAAGTGCCTTGTTTGCCTTGTGGTAAATACACCCTGTCTCATCGGGAAGCCCGGGAACCGATCCAGCAGTTGCGGTGGCTGGCCATGGAGGTTAATAGGGAACAAATTTGTCTCCATTCACCTCTATGAGCTAGAAGGCCAGAAGGGACGTCATGACATCACTTCTGGTTTATGGCAGATGTAAACACTGCCTTTTTTTGGAGGGGGGAGCATTAGGTTAATGTTTGTTTTTTTTATCTGATGATTTCAAGGGTAGAGGAGAGATGTGGGGTCTTATAGACCCCAGATCTCTCAACGAGGACCTGTCATGCTTTGTTACCACAAGGGATGTTTTGCATTTCTTGTGATAGCAATAAAAATGATCAAAATAAATGTAAAGGGACAGTGTAAAGATTAAAAAAAAAAGTAATACAATAAATAATTTAAAATTTTAAAGCGACCCTGTCCCCCCATGTAAACTGTGTTTGTACTACACCTGTGAGGTGTGACTGTGCACGTTATAGCGAGAGCAATAATTGTAGCTCTAGACTCCTCTATCATTCTAAACTGGTAACCTGTAAACATTTTTGTCGCCTATGGAGATTTTTAAGTAACGTAGTTTGGTGACATTCCACGAGCGTGTACAATTTTGCAGTGTGACATGTTTGGTATCTGTTTTACTTGGCGTAACATCGTCTTTCATATTTTATCAAAAAAAATTGATAAGTGTATTTTTAAAAAAAAAAAAAATAGCATTTGAAAAAACACTGCGTGACATAAAAATCCTAGCAACCACCAATGTATTCTCCAGGGCCTCTGCTAAAAAAACCAAAATATATATGCACTATATTGCCGAAAGTATTGGGACACCTGCCTTTACGCGCACACGAATGGCATCTCAGTCGTAGTCTGCAGGGCTCAATATTGAGTTGGCCAATCCTTTGCAGCTATAACAGCTTCAACTCTTCTGGGAAGGCCATCCGCAAGGTTTAGGAGGGTGTCTATGGGAAGATTTGACCACTCTTCTAGAAGCACATTTGTGAGGTCAGGCACTGATGTCGGATGAGAAGGCCTGGCTCGCAGTCTCTGCTCTAATTTATCCTAAATGTGTTCTGTTGGGTTGAGGTCAGGACTTTGTGAAGGCCAGTCAAGTTCCTCCTCCCCAAACTCGCTCATCCATGTCTTTATGGACCTTGCTTCATGCACTGGTGAACAGTCATGTTGATACAGGAGGGGGCCATCCCAAAAACTCTTCCCACAAAATTGGGAGCATGAAAGTGTCCAAAATGTCTTGGTATGCTGACACCTTAAGAGTTCCCTTCACTGGAACTAAGGGGCCAAGCCCAACCCCTGAAAAACAACCCCATGCCATTCTCCTGGCAACCACCAAACCCAGAAAAATCCATCAGACTGCCAGACAGAGAAGCATGATTCGTCACTCCAGAGAACACATCTCCACTGCTCTAGAGTCCAGTGGCATCGTGCTTTACACCACGGCATCCGGCGCTTTGCATTGCACTTGGCGATGTAAGGCTTTAATGCAGCTGCTCGGCCATGGAAACCCATTCCATGAAGCTCTCTACACACGGTTATTATGCTAATCTGAAGAGCAGATGAAGTTTGGAGGTCTTTAGCTATTGACTCTGCCGACAGTTGGTGACTTCTGCGCACTGTGCACTTCAGTATGCGCTGACCCCGCTCTGTCATGTGACGTGGCCTACCACTTGGTGACTGAGTTGCTGTTGTTCCCAGTTGCTTCCACTTTGTTATAATCCCACTAACAGTTGACCGTGGAATATTTAGTAGCCAGGAAATGTCACGGATGGACTTATTGCACAGATGGCAACCTATCACGGTACCACCCTTGAAGTCACTGAGCTCCTGAGAGCGACCCATTCTTTCACAAATGTTAGTAGAAGTAGTCTGCATGCCTAGGTGCTTGATTTTATACACTTGTGGCCATGGAGGTGATTGGAACACCCGACTGCAATAATTTGGAGGGGGTGTCCCAATACGTTTGGCAATATAGTGTATTGAAAATTTTTTGGGGGGATTTTTTTATTCTCCGCTGTAGGTCTCTCATGGTCTATTTTAGTTACCTTTCACTCTCTCACATTTCTTGTTACATTCTTTGTGTAGCATTACCCCTCAGGGGCAGCTGAGTAATTTTCAGGTTCCCTTTCTGTCTTGACCCTGCTCTGGAAACCCAACCCCTGCTGACACCATGTTAAAGCCTGGCCAGAAGAACCTTCTGGTTGTAACCATGAAATAGACTCGCACACAATTTAAAGTGAACTGATATTTTGGTTTTATTGAGGTCAAATGTAGGCACAATAAAGCAACAGAAATATATGTGCATAAGATAACAGCTGTCACTCTAGCAACTATCTAGCACAATCTCAATCAGTTCTAGAGGTCCTGCAATTCAGAATTTCAATGGCAGTCCCAGTCCTGAGAGGTTTTTTTTCTAATGAGTAAAAAACCCCCCAAAAACTACAAAGCGGAGAAGTTAACACCCTTTGTGGCTGAGTCTAATTCTGAGGAAAAGAAGAGCTCTTCAATTAAATAGACTAATGTCCCTTTAACTGCAGTGTCTGATCTTCTGCATGCTTGATGGGGCCCTAGTTTGTGTACATAAGAATTCAAATCCTCCTTGAGGCAAAGGTTAGACGTTCCTAATAAGGTAAACACAAAGGAAGAGAGCTGCCCCCCTAGGTGATGTTGCATTTAAATAATACCCCTTTAGCACACATAGGATGGGGTGTAGGATTTGGCAGAGATTAAAGATGGGCAAAACGCACTTCTGTAGAGGTTGGTTCTTCCTTGAGCCACAATACCAAACTGCAGCAATGGAGGAGCATCTTGGTGAATGGACAAACTGTAAAGGGAGCAACAATATAGCTGGGCCTACAGAGAACAGATGCAGTGGACGCTAGTGATTGGATCTGTTGGAACTGTAATAACTAGTAGGCTGAACAACTTGGGCCTTAACACATGTAACTTGGAAAATCTAAAGTAGTCAGGCTGAGTAGAAAGTAACTGGATTTGGTAATGTCGTGTGCAAC